TCCATGGAAACTACAACATTTTATAATTGATAACAATTGATAATTCATTATCAATCATGTTGACTGTTTTGACCACCGCAGTTCTAATCCTTGCCATCCTCCTCTATCCAGCATTCTGGCTGCCACATGATCAACAAACTTTCTGCTCACTCTGCTTATGCTCATTACTGTTGCTGTGCTACGTTCTTAGAAAAGTGCTTTGAGTCATTTTCTACTGTCTAAACCTCTATTTCCTTAGCTAGATGTTTTAATTTTATATAGGACATTCTGAGTTCATAGTGATGATATTTAGGAGGATGATGAAAGGCTTTTGGAAAACAGTGAGTGGAGGCTGATGGAGTGTTCCTATGTTTTTTTGGTGCTTGTCTTGAGCTTGTTATAGGTCAAAGTATGAAGTGTTATTCCAGAAAGAAATATACATGGCAGGCAAATTAAAATTGTAGCATATTTGGAAAAAGGAGCTAAATTGATGATAAAGCTAGTCAAAAGTGGAGAAGAAAGATTAGCTGATTCAAAGGCTATGGTAAAAGTTTATAAGGTAATGCAGATGATGAAATTGACTGTGAAAGAAGGTTGTACAAGAGTAAGAGAAGCAGAGGTGCAATTATTTTTGAGTGAACACCAATGAACGCACTTAGCTCTGAAAATTAATGGCTAAAATATTGGAAAAGCCGATTGTAGTTATATATACTTCTAAAACGTGATTTTGTTACATTATCACACAATAAATCTTGTTTCTTACTGTTCACCTCAATCCAATACTCCATTGTTTTGAGAAATGGAACTATATTTGTTAACTTTCTGTAAATTATAAACCAAGTATTCATTTTGTTGTTGTCCTGAAAAAAACGAAAGTCGCTCTATATCTGTATCCCAATCCCATGACTGGGAAGATCTGGATTCCTTTGTAATGCTTATTTCATTTTGAAATGTGGGAAAGCAAAGGTTTTATAAATGTTGGTATTAAAACCTTCCTTCATGCAGGTAGGGATTCTCTTATAGTTCTCCATGCTTTTCAAACAGTATCAGCATATAAGACACTGGTGAAATGAATAATCAGTAAAGTCTAGAGCCCCAGTTGTCCTGCATCTGACTGACTATTGAATGCCTGCTTCATTGATAATGTCACATGCTTTTACTGCTGGTGTAATGTTCTAATTATTACCTGTTCACAATATATGCCAGTAATTTCAAGACCCTCAATTTGTTTTTGTGAAATTTAATAATCCACCATTTCATTGCATCATCAATCTACTTAAAATAAACAGATCTTGATAGATGTTTCCTTTTGTGGGAAAGATTATAACTAGAGTGCATCAACATAAATAATCAACAAGGAATCTAGTAGGAAATTCAGAAGAAACATCTTTCTGTAAGGAGTGGTTAATATTTGGAAGTTGCCATCAGAGGCACAGGTTGAATTATAAGTAGATATGTTTCAGCAGAAACTGGAGGCAGAAGACCGGGAACGAGGCAGAGAATTAAAATGGCAGGCATTTGGGGTCATACTTGCAGAGTGAACGAAGACCTTTCACAAAAGTGTTTAATCTCTCCAATACTGCATTGTGAGCAGCGAATACTGTGTCCTAAATTGAAAGTACACATTGTGAAAAATGTTTATAAGATTATTATCATTTTTGGGGGAAAAATGTAGATGCATTGAATTGAATTAGATTTATTGTCATGTGTATCGCACGAGTTCAGTGGAAAGTTTACAAGTCGCCATTTACAGCACGATCCTAAGTACAAAGGTGCTAAGGTACAGAATCTTGGTACAAAGCAGAAGAATAAAGAAAACAAAGTTTTTAAGATGTAGACATTACAGTCCTTACTAAAAAGTAGAAAAATAAAGAAACATGGTTAACAGTTCAATACCATGGTCCACAAGCAACTGACTATGCTGGGCTTGCACTCCTCAAGGGCTTGACCTTTGCTGCTCTGTGCTCAACCTTGCCTCCACACCGCCCCATTGCTCTCACTGCCTTGAAGCCTGTTCCTGCTCCCCCTCTCACTGCCGGCCATCTACTTCCGCTCTCACCACCAACCAGCTCGGGCTTAATCATGTCTTAGTCGTATGTTAATTATGTCCACTTTCAATCTCCTCTGCTGTAAGGAAAACAGACCTCTATAACGCTGACTCAGCTATTTTCAGAAATGTCTATTTGAGGCAGAGATTTACAAGCTATCTCTGACATATCAAAATACCCGTTGGATGGATTTTGCTTTCGGCTGTCAGGATAACTTTGTCCAAATGAATTTCTGAACTCGGTTATCTAAAACCTAAATCATTTTCTAGAAACTGTGTGGTTCACTTAAGTATTTAGCAAAATATCTGTATTGTTAATTGATTTTTTTTTTTAAATACTCTCTTTCATGGGATGTGGGCATTGCTGGCTAGGACAACATCTGTAGTGTATCCCTAATTGTGCATGGTATTTTTTAAGAGTCAACCACAAGCCACATGTAGGCCAGAACAAGTATGGACAGCAGTTTCAATCCTAAAGAGCATTAGTGAACCAGATCAGTTTTTCTGACAATCGGCAATTGAATCCATATACCACCATCTGCCTTGGTGGTATTCAAGCCTAGACCCCAGAATATTATTGGGTCTCTAGATTTGTAGTCTAGTAATAATTAGCATAGGCCTTTGCCTGCTCTAAATAAAGATGTTTATAAATTAGGGGCCTCTGATCTAGTTATAGCTACAGTTGGGAAGAAAAGTGTCCCCCTAGCAGAAAAACTAAGTTTTTGGTTCAAGGAAACAGTTTTCACTCCGGTAGAAAGAAGTCTCCAAATGTTTAGAATTTGTAAAAACAACAAAAAATTCAGATTGAGAACTGAACAGAGTTTTAGGCAGCAGAACGAGAGAGAGATTGTAACACTGCCTTAGCAGTCCAAGGAGAAAAGTGGAAAGTGTCAGTTGAAGTAGGAATGATATTTCTCTGGAATTTAGTATCTGTAAAAGAATACTGTTGGGAAACATAGTGAAACTTTGTTTTGCTGTTTCTTAAAATATTTCTAAACTGTCATATATAGCTTTTCTCACTTTTTCTTCTAACATGATTGTCCTTTTCATTGAAGGAACATTTGTAGCCTCATGAGCATATGTTCAATGATTTGCCACCATAGTAACCAACTGCAAAAGCTAAATGTTTGATCAGTCGAGCCAGGTTCCACACTGGGTTCTGACTTGACCAGCACTATCATCGACTAGTATGATACCAATATAAATAATTTTGCTTACAAAGATGCAGTGTGACAAGACAGCATCTTGGGGTGATTGAGGCGTGGAGAAAGAAGGGAATGTGTGTTATGGAAGGACATAATTGCATTTGAATGCAGGCTAGAACATAACATGGCAGTCTGTTCAAATTCACTTTGATTAGAGAAATTTAATACGCTCCCTTTCTTCCTCGTGCTAGTTGAAAAGTTGGTTTCTTCACATCTGTCTATGAGAGACCTATCTCAATTCACATTTATTTTGGAATTTTTGTAAACTCCATATACTGTAAGATTGATTTTATCAGCAAACTTGGAAGTGGATTTCTAGCCGTTTGTTCATCCTGCAGGCTTTCTGTGGAAATAGAGCCTATTGTAGCTAACTGCATCCTGATTGGATCATTGTTCACTTTCCATTGTGCAAACTAAAACGCGGGCCAAAGTCCTCCAATTTCAGAAGTGAAATTACTCTAGAAAGGCCAAGTATCTCAGAATTGAATAATGATTAAAACAAGATGCTCAACTTTGCTGTTATGCAACGTCAGCGCATGCGGTATGTTTCACTAACCAAATGGCGTCATCAATCCAAAGATGTCCTGCCTCCCACTAACATGTATGAACTTCATTGCCAGTGCGAAGCCAAGTATGTGGGCCATATATCTCACTGGTTTATTGCAACAAACGTCATGTTTCTCTGAGTAATCATAATTAGCTATACTCAAACATCCTGTGGCTGCAAATCCCAAAAGACTCTGTGATGTGATTCCACCAGTTCCTGAAAAATCTGAACTGTGCTTGTAGCTACACTAATAATTAATTGAGCTCATAATGTGGCCCATTTTACAATTGCTAAGAGTGGTGTATACTCGTACAGATTGACCTGTTCACTGCAAATAAATGGAACGTATGTAAGCCTTGTGCCTTTATTTGAATTATCTGGAAACACAAGTTAGCTCCTGGTTGCATTGGATGAGGTATTGCCATGGAGAATCAGAATCAACTTGCCAATCATCAGCGTCCTGTCCTCCTATAGTACAAATTGTTGTCAGCCGTTAAAATTTGGCACTTTTTTTTTGTCCTGATGAGTTAAAGACCGTTAGACCACTGGGTCTAAATCGTGGAACTTTCTCCCCAACTGCACTGTGGGTGCACCTGCACCTGATGATCAGATGAGTGACCAATGATGTCCTTGCCAGCAATGCTGACATCTGCACTTCACATTGTATTGTGGAATCTATTATTGTTAGAGCCATAGTTTAACATCACTCAAAGAAGGTATCTCTATTGCTGCCATACTAGAATGCCAAGTTTGTTTTTATTGAAGTCTTTGGCCTTGAACTCAAGTTCACAACCTTCTGACTTAGACAAGAATTGTACCAACTGAAATACAGCTGACAGCTGTACTGGACTTGCCCTCGATGGAACAAAAGAAACTGTGTAATGATACTTCTAGTTCTCAAATGTGAGAGCATTGTGGAGAAGGAATTAAAATCTGTACAGCTAAAGAAACTGCCTGATTTGTACATAAGAGAAAACCTTTCCAATTGTCTAGATATGAATGTAAAAGGAGGTTAAGAATGTTAAAAACATCATTTGTTCTGCACACCTGATTTTGTCACGGAAAAGCTGTGCATTTCTTTGAACTTCTATAATAAACTTGGAGTTAGTAGATTTCACTGTTTTGATTTTTGGCCCATATCCTTGACTGCGCATGGAACTACAATACTATCCATCTGGGGGTTCTTAAATTTTTAAAATTTGAACATTTCTTCCTACTGCAGATGTCGCTGGCTGGGCTAGCATTTATTGACCATCCGTAATTACCCCTGAGAAGGTGGTGGTGAGCTGCCGCCTTGAACTGCTTCAGTCCATGGGAGGTAGGTACATCCCCACAGTGCTATCAGGAAGGTTGTTCCACAATTTTGACTCTTGACAGTGAAGGATTGGTGACATAGTTCCAAGTCATGATGTGTGGTTTGGAGGGAAACTTACAAGTGGTGGTGTTCAGTATTCCTGCAAACGTTTCTTTCTTCTGCATGGATGTCTGAAATTGGCGGTATTCTTATGTACCTGCTGTCCTTGTCCTTCTAGATGATAGAAGTTTAACATTTGGAAAATGCTACTGATGGGAACTTAGTGAATTGCTTCAGTGCATCTTGTTAATGGTATACACTGCCGTCAATATGTAGTCGTGGTGCTGGAGAGAAACAATGTTGGAGCTGGTGGAATGGTTGCCAGCCAACTGGGCTACTTTGTCCTGGATGAGTCAAGTTATTTGAATGTTGTTGAAGCTGCACTCGTCCATGCAAGGCTTGTGCCTTATACGTAGTGAACAGGCTTTGAGTGAGAAGGTGAGTTACTTGCAGCAGACTTTATAATCTCTGACTTGCTCCTATTGCCGCAGTATTTATATGATTTGTAGAGTTTAGTTTCTGATCAACGGTAATTCCAGATATTGATAGTAAGGATTCGGTGATGGTAATAGCATTGGATATCTAGGAAAAGTGTTTAGATTCTCCTTTGGAGGTTATCAGTATCTGGCACTTGTACGCCATATTACTTGCCATTTATCAGTTTAGATCTGGACATAAGAGTGCTTCAGTATCTGAGAAGTTGCAAATGGTCACTATCCTTACCCTGTTTCAAGGACAATGGGTCCTCACGTTTCAACAACTGCAAATCAACCATTTCTTTACATTCCATTCCAAAATAGACATCATTTATTTTTTGGCCATTGTTTCGCTTCGATTTAGTGTTGGGTACTGAATTCCGTTTTAAAATTCTGCATATTCATATTTTATGGAATTAATGTCATTGACTTTTGTTTTGGAAAAAATCAGGCATTACCAGATTAACTTTCCTGATGTCACATTGGCATGCTGGAATCCCTGCCAGGAATTGCTTTTCAGTACAATGTAATGAGGTTTGCCTGAGAGCAGGAGGTTAAATTGAGTAAAATTGGAATACTGTAGTTAAATAAATTGGATTAAGACTATGTTCTAAGGTGCAAAGTTACACCTTATTTTTGTCAACAGCACAGTGTTGATTAGACAAATTATTCGCGCAGTTGCATTTATCCGAAAATAAGTAATAAAATGTTTCCTATTTGATGCCTGATTAGGTAACTTTTTTAGCAATTAAACCTATTGAAAACTGGATCTTGGGGCGAATGAGGGGAGGTGCCAGGAAGTTATGATGGAATAGTAGGCAAATTGCAAAAATGTTGGTTGCTTTTGAATCATTCTATTTATTGACACAAGGATGGGAGTGCTTACAATAAGCAACCTTCATTTTGCTAGACAGCCCCCAGTCAAAATGATCTGTGGAGTAATATGATTTACAAACGTAGATATAATTTTGCAGAACATTCAACCATCTTTTTACATTTGAGTTTTCTTTCACAACCTGCCATGGCGTAGTTTGAGTTCATAACTTGGATTGTTGTTCAGTGCCAATACCACTGGGCTGTACTGAGTGCTGATGTACTTCTGTCAGTACACATACTTGCTTGCATTGGTTTTTGTGAGTTTCTAGAGGGCTTTAATGTGAGCCTCTAAAGTTACATAGTTAATGAAATATGTTGAATATAAACTAAAATACAAAATTCAAAGCCCAACTAAAATAGTCAAACCACTTCATGGTGTTTAACTTTGTGGTTCAGGTCTCGTGATCATAAAACAACAGAAGAATAAGGTCAGTTTACTGATATGATTTGTTATAGATTATGCTCTCTGCTGACATTTGAAGTCCTGCAGAAAGCAGGTGTTCACTGCTAAGGCAATGATTTACCAGTGAATGATCCAGTTTTTGTGCTATTATACAGGGCCTTACTGCTTAGGTTCTCTTGTTATGGGGCTCAGTATCATGTTTTTCTTTAAATAAAAATCCTTACTTCTAAAATTCCTATAGAAGCAGGGAAAGAGGAATTTCTGAAAAGAAATATAGACTGGGCACTGTCCACTAATCTTGAACTGCCAAGCTTAGGAGGAAAAAAACAAGCATTTTCCTTCTTCCCTTTCAGAGGGGCCCCTTTTGAGTTCCTTTTTCACTCAGTGGCTGTGCATGATTCATACTGATTTTTTTAACACTTGCGCTTATGTTCTGGTAATTCACATGAGGACCATGGAAACTTTGGTCCAACTTCACATTGGCAAGATTGCTGACAAAACAATAAACTTTAGTGCCAATTATCAGTTATGCCATTTCAGGAATTTCTACCTTTTTTTTCAGTCATCGGTCCCTCGCAAGGGTGACTCTCTTCCATTCTCAGTGAGTCCATAGGTGGCTATAGAGACCAATACGGCTAACACAGGCTCTGTTACACTTATTTAAAATATGAAAAGAATGAGGAGCTTCCTCGTTCCGAGTAATGGTATATTGAACACATGGAACAGTGCATAGCTTGGGATCTCTATCATTGGCTGATTTTTAAAGAATAACTGCAGTTTACAATTTTTAATTCTTTGAGTGTGCAAGAAGTGTAGTGGATTGGGAGCCAACCATATTTCAAAAAGCTGCTATTCAAGTCACTGTTTTATGTTACTTCTAAGTTGAATAAGACAAAAGTACTTACTAATAGACTTGCATTCATCTATCCAGACAAGCCATAGAATTGCCAGCAATGTTACAATGTTCTGTTGTTGCTCCCTAGCCGTTGCCTGGGAACAAGGTTTCTATGAATCTAAACAGGTGTGCAGTGACATAGCAGTTGGGATGTGCCAAATGGGGACAAGCTGGGTACAATAAACAACATTCCTTTTTAAGATGCAGACATAGTTGCACTACATGTTAAAGGACTGAAAAGCAATATTAAAGGCATGTACAGTGCATTAATGCAAAATAATGGGTACATTTCTATAGGGTTATAAGAACAAAGGGACCTGTGGTGTATTTTCAGAAATCATTGAAGCTGGCAGGGCAGTTTGAGAAAGGTGTTAATAAGGCATATGTGATCCTCTGCTTTATTAATGACATGAGTATAGAAGTATGGAAGAATTAGCAGAATTCATAAAATATTAAATCAGCTTCAACTGCAATATTGTGCATAGATCTGAGCATCAAAACTTAGGAAGGAAGTAAAAGCAGAAAAGATTCATGTGAGATGCCAGGGTTTGGGGATTTTGGTTATGTAGAGGAATTTAAGAAGCTGTAGCTATTGTTGTAAGGAAGATGTTACGTAGGCTATACACAAAATCAGACCTTATGGCAAAACCTATCCATGCTGCTGTTTGTGCTACACTTGTCCCATCTTTCTGCAACCAAAATCTATCATTCTAACCATCTATTCCTGCTGTGATGATTCTTTATTTATTTTGGGTTGTCAGAGCCAGCACTCAGTGAACATTGTAATGTACTGGGATACAGCCAGTCCCAAAGAGTTTGTTACATTTGAGTTCAACTGCTGATTGATACATTTGATTGTCTAAAATATTAGTTACATACTATACTATCCAGGGCCAAGAATGTGGTTTGTTGTAAGGTTTTCAATCGGTCACTCAAAACAGTTCAGAAATTGCAGAAGTGGAGTTCAAAGTCACAGTTAGTTAGAGAAAACCAACAAGCTTGCAGAAAAGAAATATTAAGATGTACTGGTGAAAAAGCATTTGAACTACACAGTTTTTGTAGCTGGGGACTCAGGCCAAGAACAATTGAATGACTTTGTGCTATTAGAATTGCACGAGTAGTTCTGGGAATTGGGCAGCAATGTGTTTGAAATCGGACCTCCAGAAAAACTGTGGGTGCTTAGACAAAGCTGTGTGCTCTTAATTGAATGCAGCTGTGAATAAGTGTGAAGGAAACCTACATTTAATATTTGCTTTGTGTGCTGAATAAGATTAGAGCTTAGGAAATAAACTTAGCTTCACCAAGCTAGTACAGCACCTGTCTGTGAAAACCTGGTGTTGTGCCTTGGAGGAAGCGTTGAAGTGCAGTTTCCAATCTTGGGAGGGCTGTCCCAGGAAAGGAAGGTGAAGCGCTAGAACCGGAACAGTTTTTGATGCAGTTAATGATGGTCTGGCTCTTAAGGGAGTTTCAAAGAGAGTTTGTCAAAAGTGAAGAATCATAATTCTTTAAGGAGTTTTAATGAAATTTTGTAACTCTCATGGTCACCAGCATTGGGGGTGAATTGTTCGAAAATATATTGGATCTGCCTCTATTGCGATTACAGTTTGAGTTTGACCATAGTTTGTTCTATCAGTTGGGCTCCTGTAAATTATGAGATTAGAAATCAAGTCATTTCTATCTTTACACAGTCAAAAACCATTCATAAAAACCTTTAGCATGTTTAATTTTATTTGTAATAAACTTGTTTTTTTTATTGACTAAACAAAGCCTGGTTGACTTACTTCAAATGCTAAGTTAGGTACAGAATAAAATCTACATAAATTGGCCTAACAACCTGGTTAGACTTAAAATCAGTGACCAGTTGAGTAATAGGACTGCAAGGGAATCAGTGGACCTCTTTTGAGCTGTGTTGCAACACCACCTACCTCAGGTACTTGTCTAACTTCTAGTAGGTCCGTCTATACTTCCTGTTTCAATCACTCCTTGTGATAGCTATTCATTCTCACCACTATGGGCAAAAAAGTGCTGGGAGGAAATTTGATGAAGATCCTCAAAATCATGAGTGGTTTGGATAAAGTATATCAGGAAAAAACTGTTTGCAACATTGGAAGAATAGGGAACCAGCTTAAGGTGATTGGTCACCAACTTGAACTGATTGGTCATTAAATGCAACATAAGGATCTTTCTTTAAACACGGTGAATGGTTAGGATCTGGAGTGCACTGCCTGAAATGGTATTGGAGACAGATTCAGTTTGGTAGTTGTACAAATAGAAATGTTCAGCTGGGCTATGATGAAAAAGTGGGGGTGCCAGA